CCACCCTGATGAGCCCCACCCTCCTGCACCACCCTGAGCCCCCGACATCCAGACCCCCTGCCACTGACCGCCAACTAGCTGCACCTAGATCCTCACCCCACCAAGCCCCACACCCCTAGTACTCAGACCCACCTGCTGAGACCCCCACACCCAGACCACTTCACTGAGCCCCAACCACTTTCATCTGGAAGCCCCTGCAGAGTCCCATTGCCCTTGCACTTGGAACCCCCCAAGGAGCTCTGTGCATCCAGATCCCCCCCCACACCTAGACCCCTGACTGAGCTGCCTGCACCCAGATTGTCCCACACACAATCCTCTCACCCCCACCTGGATCCCCCCACACTAAGCCCCTCCACCCTTGTATCTTGCCTGGTTGAGGCTGCCTGCTCACACCTTGTGTGCCTGGCGTAGAGGGGCAGGGCTCCATGGTGTTTCTGGGGCAGTCCAAGGCCTTGTGCTGTGTCAGGGTTGGGTGCAGACTCACCACTGAGTCAGAACTGTAGCTGATCAATCTATAGTGTTAAACTTTGATACAAAGTCCGTAGAGAAAATCAGAATAATGAATAAATTCAAGAAAATCACAATCTCCTCATGAACATTCCAGCATCAGAAAAATAAACAGGATATTGTCAAATAAATTATCTGTTCTCAATTGTTCACTTCATTGAGACAGAGATTGCCCTCTTTACCAAGCAGTTTTCATATCCTGCAATTGCTACCTGGTTTACAACATATATTCATTGGCTTTCTAAGCCTTTACTATTCAAAATAAAATGTAGTATTCCCCTTGTCACAGTATGTATTTTAATCTTAGTAACGTTGCTTATAAAGTTCTATGTATATGCAATTTCCATACAGAATAAGCACACCAACGTATTGTATGGCTAAGGGTACGTCTACACTACCCTCCAGATCGGTGGGTAGCGATCGATCTATCGGGGATCGATTTATTGCGTGTAGTGTAGACGCAATAAATAGATCCCCGATTGCTCTCCCGTCGACTGCTGAACTCCAACACTGCGAGAAGCAGAAGCAAAGTCGACAGGGGAGCCACGGCCATCGATCCAGCGCCACGAGGACGCGAAGTACATAATTTTAATTCGATCTAAGTACGTTGACTTCAGCTACGCTATTCTCGTAGCTGAAGTTGTGTATCTTAGATCGATTTCCCCGCCCCCCCCCCCCCCCAGTGTAGACCAGGCTTAAGAGATACCACTGTCTTTGTATGCCAGCATCATACTTGATATACTACAGTTTAAGACCACAATTTGGACCTCTGAGCATGGATCTAAACGTAGGAGTCAAACCATATTGTCTTAGAAACGTGATCTCAGCTCTTTTGTAATTTGTGAAACATTTTGTAAAACGAATAGTACTTGTGAGTAAATCCACTATTGTATTATGCTTACAGCAGATGGATTCTTTGAACTGAAGTGCTATCACATGTTTAGCTTCAGCAAGAGCAAAATAAGACTAAAGACAGGGAAAGTTCAGTTTACATATGAAATTTTGTCAACTTTGGACAAAATGTTGAGCTATTTAAATACCCCATCACCACAGTGGTAATTCTGTGGCTGTTACACAGCAAGTAAATATCTTATCCTTCCATTTTGATTAAAAATGGTGGTAGAATTTTTAGCCAAATAATTGAGCTGAGTGGCTAGAACATTGTTAGCTGGTTCTTTGTGGCGTTTCCATTATCTGTAGCTGGAAGTGGTATCTTAGTACCTGCTGCCTTGATTTAAATTGGTGGTGCAGGGTAAAAGTACCACTTAGTGAATATTCATATGTAGATACTCATATTTCTAAGATTTAAACTCATGGCAAAATGCTGTCATTCCTGTCAGAGAATTATAGCATTTTCCAATAAAAATGGCAAATTTCACAATGTTGTACAGAATTGGGGGGTGGTTTTTTGTTTTAAATGAATTAGTCATAAGTGGAAATTCGCCATTTTCACAGCAAAAGCAATTTTTTTGAGAGAAAACAGTAGTTTTTAGCTGCATGCAAAAACTGCCTTTTGTGTTTGTGTAAAATTCAATATGACAAATATTTTCCTTTCTCATAAACCTGGTTTTTGCCTGCCTTGTTGTATTACCTTTAACGAGTAGTTATTTTTCTGCTATATGGGCCTAAGTGGTGATACAGGGTGAAGCGTAAGATGGGAAGGTGAGTGCAGCTTGAGAGTGTCATTCTGTATTATAACTTCCAGGTTTCATTTTTCCAGTGCAAACTAGAATCCAGTTTCTGCTGTAGGAGGCTTGTGTGCAGCTTCCATGGATTTCAAATGAAAGCCACTTGAATACCTCTGAGAGGAGAATTTGTCCCAATGCCTTTTGATTATATGCTGGTTCAACTCTGAGAAAAATCATGCATTACTCTGTGCCTGATAAGCAACTAATAAGATCAGGAGATGTTTACTATAGAAGAAAAGGATTATAGAAAAGGATTTATGGTAGAAAATAGGTAGATGTCTTTAAGATAAAGCCAACATGGCAGGCACATTGGAACTAATGACTTTTACTTGTTCTTAAAATTCACTATGTTCTTTTCTGTCTCATCACTCTAGCAGATTTTTTCCTGTTATTAAATCTCTATTACATGATTAAGGCAAAACCAAAGAAACATGCAATTGAAAAGATAAATATTGTTTATGTGCTTGTGCCAAACAAATTTAAGAATAATTTAAAGGAGTGTTGCATTATCTCAGATAAAAAAATGTTTGAAGTTTTTATATATATATAATTTTTTTTTCCAATTTTGGAAGTACTGAAGTGTAAAATAAGAGAGATTTTCAAAGGCCTAAATCAAGGATTGGCAACCTTTGGCACGCAGCCCATCAGGGAAATCCGCTGGCTGGCCAGGACGGTTTGTTTACCTGCAGCATCTTCAGGTTCGGCCGATCACAGCTCCCACTGGCTGTGGTTCGCCGTTCCAGGCCAATGGGGACTGAGGGAAGCAGCGCGGGCTGAGGGAACCACGGCCAGTGGGAGCTGTGAGTGGCGATGCTGTAGGTAAACAAACCGTCCCGGCCCGCCAGCGGATTTCTCTGACGGGCCGCGTGCCAAAGGTTGCCAATCCCTGGCCTAAATGAGCATCAGTGGGTTGAAAAAGATGGCAATCAATGGGAGTGTCTTTGTATCTTTTGAAAACCTCCCACTGGACATATTAACGTTATCAATGACATCTGTATAAAGGTGCCCCTCCAGTAGCCTGGCCCATTCTAAGACTTCCAATGCAATTTTATTCAATTATTAGTGTGCTAGAGAAATAAGGGTTTTTTTCTTAATTTTTGCTAGTTCCTTAGGTGTTGGTCTCAGACAAGTTTCATGGAACATTTTGAGGTCTGACTCTGAACCACAGGTAGCAAGACTGAAGAGAGTTATTCATGGACTTTGCTTTCCTTAGATTCTTTTTTTAATGTGGTGAAACTGTTTCAGAAAGTCAGCTGTATAGTGCTCCTTTTTCAAGCACATGTAATAGATCAGAATTCATTAATGTAAAGGGAATATTCCAAATTACAGCATAATAATGTATATGGTTATTAGATAGCATATAAGTAGTGCTAAATATTCCAAATAATATTGTAGAAAATTATGTATTTCCCTGGAGTTAGAGTTTTGATAAAAAGGGTTAACAGCTAGATTTTTCTTTTTGGAATGTTGGGAACTATATTACTTTACCAGCAAGAATTCTGGGAGTGGAAATTCACTTCCAATTTCTCTCCCTCCCTCTTTTTGCAATGGTTGCCTCATGTAAATTCCTATTTGTTTAATGACAAAATACTCAAAGTGAACAAGAATTATCAGTTGTTGAGGTTTGGGACCTTAAGGCTGGCCTCTGCTCCTATTTGAGTCAATGGCAAAACTCCCATTTGACCTCTTAGAAGAAGTATTAAGTGAGTTTTGGGAAAAATTATAATTCCCATTTCTGGGCCATCTGCCTTTGCAGTAAGTATTCCTCCAGCTTGTCTAGGCCCCATGAAATGTTTGGGGTGTCTTAAAATTCCTAATTGTCTGTGTTCAATTTCCAGAGAGAGCATGTGGGGCTGTGCCAGGTCAGCTGTTAACACTTTTCGTTTTTTCAACTCCAGGTATGAAGTATTTTATTGTGTATTATATACTGTTCTGTGTGTTTGACAAAGTTTAGTGGCAGTTCATTTTAAGCTTTCTTTCCCTCTTTCTTTGGCTGGCTACTGTAAGAGACAGCATGTGGGGCTATGCCAAGTCAGTAGATACACGGGTTTTGGGTTGGGAAAGGGTTAAGTTTGAGTATTTTCAGCTCCTGGTAAATAAAATATGAAAATAGAATGAACAATCATGGCTCTTCAGTTGCCTGATAAGATACAGAGTACAGCCAAAGTAAACTGTTGAAATTAAGTAACAACGTCATTTTACACAAGGTTCCACAGTTGAAATTTGTCAACATAGATTTTAATCACTGCCAGTGATCCCAAGGTTCACAAGGTTCTAGCATGATAGAACAACTGTCACAAAGGAGTAAGTTATTCACCAACATACCTTTTTGGGGGGCAAAAATGAGGCTAAAATGTGTGTTTAAAGTTTGGTTCCTAATTCCATATATTGACCTCTACATAAATACCCTGCTTTTTCAAGTGCTGAGCTCCTAGATATTCCCACTGAAGTAAAATGTGGGATATTCCAGCAAATGCTGTGAAGTCATTGGGAGCTCCAGGAAATGTCTAGCTTGCACAAATAGCACTTACATATGTACAGTCCAATATGCATATGACATTGATCTTGTGTATAATATGTTCATTGGGATTAACTGTTTGTGTTGGTTTGTCTTTGTTTTATCAAATTTTAAAACATATACAATGAAATGTCCTAGATTATTTTAGATCATAGCAGTATATGTTTAGTGTAAACAAATATGTTATAGAAAAATCTCATTCCTCAAATTTATAATTAGACCTCAGCTTCATAAGTAAATTAAGAGGGAGAACATTTGAAAGAAATTATATTTTGTCATTCATAAATTAACAGTTAAATAGATAAATGATTCCCCTAATCCATTCATAACATTAATATACAGTTAAATAAATTTATATTACAGAAACTTCAAACTCACATTTCTCAAACATTTACAAAATGGCAGTAGTAACTCACCTTCTCGGGCCAGCTCAAGGCACTAAAATTTGCTTGGGAACAAAAACAATTATATAAACTCATTGATTTTAAGTGAGTATTTGAACCTTATCAGTGATGGCTGACATGTGCTCTCATATGAAAACCCCAACCCTAATACCTTTCTTCAAGCCAGTTGAAAGAGCAACCTCAATTTTGGAAATTGTTCCTTGTTGGAGAAAAAGCCCATTACTGTCCTAAAATGTTGCATTTCTAAAGCAACGTATATTCGAACAGTTCTGTTACCATTTCGGATACAGGTTCCTTTTGATCCCCAGTGGGGACTGCAATCTCTGCTAAAAGAAGGGCTTTGATTTTTAAATTATGACACTTGTTAATAGCATTTTCATTTTTCTAGGATTTTCATAAGACTAAAATGTCCCACGTAACTTTCACATAATGTCAGAATAAGATATGTTTGAGCAGCTGACCATGAAACAGAGGTATCCAGAGCACTTCAACATAGCTCCCACACTTATTTTTTCTCAGCAGCACATCTTCTTTATTCTGTTTTTCATTTTCTTTTCTTTAGGGGTGGTCTATGCAGATTTTGTGTTACTATGTGATCCTTGAGTCAGGAAAGTTAGGGGATTTCAAACATCTACACTCACTATGAATATGCTATTTACAGCTTATGAATGCTAGCTTTATGTCTTAAATAATGCATACAAGTTAACCTTAGTAAGATTCCTTAAAGTGCATGGATAGATCAGCTGTAGACTTAATGCGTCTCATTCTATTCTGGCACCAGTTGTTCTCCATTGTAACTCTATTGACTGAGCGGCGTTACTACTGATTTACACTCATGTCAGATGAGAATAAAGTCCAATATTTTAGGGAGTCAAATAAAACCTAATAATTAGAAAACTTAGGAAATGATTTATAGGCTCTTCTGAATATTTTAAACATAATGCGCTGAATTGTGCCCCTCAGTTACATCTATGCAACCTCACTTAAGCAATGGGGAACCATCACTGTTGTTGCACAGATGTAATGGAGGGCACAATTTGGGCTAAGGGGATAATCTCAATATATCATATGAAATTGTTAACTCCTACAGTCCACTTAAATCGTCATCATACTGCAAGGAAAACTCATCACAGTTGGTTTAATTTGCTTACTGGAGTTATGGATTATTGCAGTTAGGGAAAATAACAGGATACCAACAGTCTTCAGAAATGGTGAATTGTATTATAAATTAAATGCAAATATGTGGATAAATAATTTATTTTCATGAAATTTCATTCAAGAAGTTTCTCTGTTTTGTTTTGGACAATTTCATGTCACTGAAATTATGCTTTTTTCATGACATTTCAGGGAAATTGGTATGTTTGCATCATGTCAGGTTTAAAATTGTAATATATTCATTATTTTTATTATAAAAGTACATTCTTGCTCTTACTATTAAGTTTTGGGCTTACAAAATTTTGTACAGCTGTAAAGTAAGATAACAAACATCTATTTTTAAGTAACCTGTATTATTATTATTTTATTTATTATTATTTTACTGATTCATAAATTGAGACAGAAATCATGACCTATCACTACAGGGTTTCCCAGCATTAACTTTTAAGATGGAGCTTAATGTGACTTCTGTCTAATGTGGCTTTTAAAAAATACTCCCTTGTTTTCTTATAGGCAATCATTCCACAGTTATTTTCTACTTCCCGACTGTCATTTTATTCTGCACTTTCATTTAAGGCATTAGGATTAATGAAGCCCAATAGGATAGAAATAGTGGCGTTGAACAGATATAAATTAGGGGCAACGGATGCGCTTTTTCAAAAGTGCCCAAGAGCTCTACATGCCTGTTCAGTTTCAATGAGAGCTAAGTACTTACTCTTAGGCATTTTTAAAAATATCATCTAATTTCTTTTTCAAACAACATCACCATCATTTAAAAATATGGAGCCTTTCTTTTCTGTGATGCTCAAGTTTTGTATTCTGATATCTGAGGCATTGTCTTTTAAATACTGAAAGTCACTTTATTATTTATTTTTCAATTGTGCCGGGAGATGCATTCTTTACATTCCTTTAAGAGTTAGTGGTACCATCGTCAGTTGTCACTGAGAGAGCCCAGAACCCTGAACTAAACTGACAACTAAATGAAAGAGAATCCGATTTTCAAATATTTCCAGTAAAATTCTGGCCCCATACAAGCCAAGAGAATCTTTACCACTGATTTCAATGGGGTCAGGATTTTTCCCTTCTGTGTACTGTGTGTCTTTGTAATTTTAAAACATAGGGATAAATTGTGGGTTCATTCCTCTGAGGAGCACAGGTGGGATGGTTACAGTGCTGTAGTGGCTTTGCAGAAGACCTCTGTGTAGGGAGAGGCATACAGAATAGCTCAGGGAGCACAGGAGAAGCATTTTCTGTGTGCCCCTTGAAACTTTTCTGGCTTATCATGCTCAGGAAATCTACTGAAGGCCATACGTGCTGCTCAAATCAATCCCTTGGTTCTGCAGTCAAACACAGGCAAACTTATTAAGCCTTTCAGTGTAAAAGATGGATTTATTCAGATTTAGTAACACAAAAATTCTGTACCTAGGGAGGTCAGTGACAAAATTCCCATTGACGTGACTACCCACAGGTCCTACGTGTTGCTCCTGCTTCTTTTCCAGCAAAATATTTATCAATTCCCATTGTATCCTTAAAAATATGTCTATCAGTCCAGGTTATTATATTGGTGATACAGCAGCATTATTTGTATACTTCAGAGGTTGTTAGGTACAGGATGCTCCTTCATCCTCCTGTGTCCTACAGACAGTACTTCTTTTGCTCCTCTACAGTTCACTCTTGCTTTTCTATTAGGAGCACACTGTACAGCTTTGGTCAGATGGGAAGTGTTTGGCAGCTGCAGGACCCAGATGCCAAATTCTGGAATATAGCTTTCCTGTACTGGCATGTGGGTTTGTTGCTGGCTTTTTGGCTTGCACCTCTGCTAGCTTCTTGGCAGGATCTCTATCTGGCAGCTGTAGAGCTGCCTCTGGGGCCAAGCTAGGGTCAAACTGCTGTGGAGCTCGATGATTTTCTTGGTCTGAATTATCTGCTGGACACTATTTTCACCTTGATTTGCTTTGACTTATAGAGTATTCAAAGACAGAAACTTGCACTTTTCTTTTTTGTTTCAGCTATTTACAGGGCTAACTGAAAGCAGTGGTTGTGATCAGTTAGCAGATTTCAATTAAATTCAGGATTTTGAGGTACATTGTTGCACCCCTAACTCATGTTGTTAGGTAGTTAGAAGTGCAAGGAGTCAGATTGCTCCTGTGGTTCAGCTTCAGGGCAGAGCACCCTTTTTCAAAAACCTGACCCTGCGTCTGGATCTGAATCGTCATTTTGAATCAAGAGTCAGCTCCAGCCTCTGTCAAGTAGAAAAGTTTTTCAGTTAGCCTGGACCATGATTTTTTTTTAAAGTTTAAAAATAGTTCCTTCTAATGTGAATAAACAACAATACTGGGTGCTACTGATAATAATTAGAAGTGCCTACACAAGAAAATGCTTGATCTTCTTTTTGCCCAATTTTGAATGCCCTCATTACATAGTTTAGACTTATCTCATTTTTTTAGCCTAAATGAGGCAATGAAAAATTAATGCAGCTAGGGACAGCCAAGGCATTTGAAGTAATTCCCTAAACTATGCCTTTCCCTCCATGCTGCTCAGCACATTAAACCTTATTGTTGGTGGAAATAACTGCAAAAGAACCAATCAGGAATGCTCACCAAGGCTCAAAATACCTATAGTAAAGTACAGATTAGTCATACTTGTTATAAGTTTCAGAGTGGTAGCCGTGTTAGTCTGTATCAGCAAAAACAACGAGGAGTACTTGTGGCACCTTATAGACTAACAAATTTATTTGGGCATAAGCTTTCATGGGCTAAAACCCACTTCATCAGATGCATGGAGTGGAAAATACAGTAGGAAGATATATATAGCAGTACAT